CATGCACATGCGCATGCGTGGAAGCGCAGAAGAGCTCAAATACAGGTAAGGAGTTCAGGTGGGCCCTCCGGAGCACCGTACCAGAACGGTACCCGGTGCTCTTGGCAGGCACCGGTACGTCTGTACCGGAGCGTACCGCCTGCAACCCACCACTGTTCAAAGCCCTTTAAAACATCTTCCAATACCAACACAAATTGTCTACAAAAGCTCTCAACTTGTAAGCCTCTTTTTTAATTTGTACACCTAATATCCTCTCATCTTGCCTTATATCTCTTTTCAAAATTTCAAGAGCCAAGATAAACAAAGAAAGGGATAATAGGCAGCTTTATCTTGTTCCCTTTGCCATTGTTAAATATCCATTTGTGCTTTTTGTGAGGTATAAATTGATTTTACCCTTTTTACAAAATTATCTTTAAAGATCTTATCTTCTAAAACTTCACATAAACAGGCCAATTAAATGATCAAAGCCTTTCTCTGCATCTAAAAAATTAGCACAGCTTGTTTTTATTATGCTGTTCCAAGTATTCTATAATGTCTAATACCGTTCCAATATTATATTTTAATGATCTTTTTAAGTAAAAGTCCAGATTGGTCTTCATGAATAATTTCTTCCATGATGATTTTCAATTTGTCTGCTGAAATCATTGTAAATAACTTATAATTGCTATTCAATAATATTTGTTGCTGGAGTTCAAATCTCATCCTTCATATATTAATGCTATATTTGCCTTTTTCTAAGTTTCTTCCCTATAGTATAGAATTCATAATATTTTGGATGCTTTGTAAAAGTTTATATTCAAAGCATTTGTAACTAAGAACCTGATGACCCATCTGGTCCTGCTACTTTCCCTGATTTAATATTTGGTACATTTTGTTTTTTAAATAATCATCCTTTCATTCCAAGGCAATATCAGGTCCTTTGTACAAGTTAGAGTAACATTGATTTTAAAAAAGTTTTTTTTTTCTGTAGCCACATTGTCCATTGATATAGTATCTCCCTCTTGACATTTCAAAATCCTTTTCTTAATTTACACACTAGTCATTTCACTAGTTTATTTTCAAATTCAAATTAAACTTCTACAGTAACAAATATCTGCATGAACAGTAAGAGAAAGGGAAATCAAGGTGAACTCTACCAAGCAAAAGAATTCCAAATTTTTCAGTAATCATTTTTTGGATTGCTAGAGAATGAGTTTTCTTCATGTACATGAGGCCTAGCAGCATATCGGTACTAGTTTTCTTGCCTCGCTCTTCCATTGTTCTAAATACCAAAGCAGGTAATTATAAAAAGAGTTTATTCTGTATACATGTAATCTTTCTACTGTATTCTTATTCATTACCAGCAGTATTTCCAAAATCAGCTGAGGCAGCACATGAGTGGTATCAATGCTTGCCAGCTGCTTTTACAGAAGCTTTGGCTGCATCCTGTGGCATCCCAGGAGGACACCTCACACATCAAAATGCCAAAAAGCAGGTGTGGATTGACTTTGCATGTATATTTATCAGCCATTAGCAATGTGGTCTATTAAAGCAGCAGAGGTTGGTAATATCATTGGCATCAACTTTAGTGGAAGTGCTGCTTCCTGGCCCTGTGGATCATATTGATATTGGTGGAGAGAAAACTCATTGCTTACAATGCAATTGCTTGGCAGCACTGCAATGGTACGTAGCATTAATAATATTGAGAGCCAATTTGGTCTAGTAGTGTTAGATTAGAATCTAGGAGTCCCAAAATTCTAGTCTCACCTCAGGCATAAAGCCAACTGGATGACTTTCCTCCTGAGAGTAACTTTCTCTCAGCCCTAGGAATGACTAGTGTGTAGAGCTATTATTTTATTTTTAATTTAAAAAATATATATGGTGTTTTTATATTTTTGTAAGCCTCCTTGGGTCGCCACGTGCAAGTAGAGGACAATATAAATTTTCTAAATCAATAAATGATATAAATAAGGAGGCAATGGCAAATCACTTCTGGAAACAGGTTGCCAATGAAACTGCAGGGATGTAATGGAAGAAAAAAAATTAATACTACTAATAGTAATGGTAGCCAAACCAGGCTTACTGAATTAGATCCTTTCTATATCTCTGATCTGAGCTTGTGATGTCTGGGGAGGGACTAATATCTAATCCTGTTGTTTTTGAGATGAAAACAAGTTAAAGCAGCCATAAAGTCCTCCAGAACAGGACTCAGCCTCTAAGTCCAGTTGTCTAATATTGCTGGAAGAGTTGCTCCTGCTGTTTTTATTTTCCCCCTTTTAGCTAGTCAATTGACCAAGGGTTTCTCTTGTGGCTTTCATGCAGATTTCCCAGCAAATAGCTGAAAAGCTCACCAGGAAAGATGACCGACTGCTTCCATGTCTTCTCTCAACCACCGTGTGTCCTACTTCTTCCATGAGTGGGCTAAAGGTAACCTTTTTGAGATGTTTTGGTCTTATTTGCAACTCATTGTGATGTGTATGCCTTTCTCCCTCTTTCAACTGGGGAAAGGAGGGATTAGATTTCAGAGTCCAGTGTTGTTTTGCTTTTCCATCGGTTAGGTCCTGTATGCCTGCTGCCATGTCAATCAGGCTCTGTGCCATCGCATAGCAACTCCAGAATTCCTGAGTTTCCTAATCTGCCACCTGCAGGGCAAGGTATTCATTTTCATCTCATTCTTCAATTAGAAGGAGAGCTGCCTGTTTACAAATACAGATTCAAAGACTGTTCTGTTTTGTGCATGAGGAGAAAAAGCAAGTAACTGCCTTCTGTCCTGTTAGGGTATCAGTCCATATGGCTTAGCATTGCCAACTCTGACTGGCAGTGGTTTTTTTTTTCCAGGAGCCTTTCCCATTGCCTCTTTCATCCGTTAATTGGCAAAACTAAACTTTCCGTATTTTGAGAGTTCATAAACTGACAACCAGAAACAGTCTGGATGAGAAAGTGATGAGGTAAAAAGGATGAGGCAATAGGAGATGACAGGGAAGAAGAATTGAGGCAGCCATGAAATAGTACAGAAGGAATACTAAATGGGCTTCATGCTGACTAGATCTTAGAAAGTTGAAGACTTGGAGGTAGAGTGTTTCAAAACTAAGGTCTGTGTCTTTAAAAGGTCTTGCTGCCTGAAGTTGCACGAGTCCAGGCTGTTGAAGCCTCACTGAGGCTCATCTCCCTAATGTTGCTCCAGTGCCAGATCCTACCACCGCAGTAAGTACCAGAGCAAAGCTTTTAAAAATGAAACAATGAAAGTTAACAGCAAAATGCCCCAAATTTGGCAACTCGATTTCACGTCTTCTGTTTGCAGTCTTAAATCTCTCCTGCAAAAATGCCAACAGGTAGATGGAATTTTTTTAGTCATATTATGGAATATCTGTAACTCACCAAAAAGTGGGGTGGCTGATTTGTAGCTCTGACCTTTCAGAGGTTTCCAAGCCAAGTTAGGAAGGGAGTGTGGGCTAGCAGAGGTTTTTCTTAGTGTTGAATCACAGCAAAAAAATGAACAATTCTTATTTCCACCAAGGCATGATCTGTAAATCCTTAAATTCTTCATTTGCCTTGCTTTAAGGGAATATTCTTTCATCACAAGACCATTTACAACAATGAGAAATGTTTGCCATACACTGTAAATTTATTAGTAAACATCCTCTCTAAATATTTGCTAAAATTACCCCAAATTCATTTGTAACTGTTCAAAATAGGGCATCTCTCAGCAGTGAGATCTGCAGAGAGCCTCCTTTTTAAAAGAATTCAATGGGAATTTTGCTGGGAAGATGTTAAAGGTTTTAAAGCAGGGAGGGACCGTGTATTTCAATCCCATATCCATTGTATGAGGAAATATTGCTGAAATCAATAGGTTTTATTTCTTTGACTTACAGACCTTTGAGAGTTATTATAACTCTGCAGGGCAAGTGCAAACTTTGGGAATTTAGAATACTCTTTTCTTTCTACCTGAAGTGGCTTCTGATAGCTTTCAGAAGAGAACATTGTGCCACTCATTCTTCCTTCAATAAAAGTTTCACTTGAGGACTTTTTTAAAAATGACATATAAAAGTCTCTTCTTGGGCAATCAAACACAAGTAATTATTGCGTATAGTGAAAGTTAAGTGGGTATAATGAACTTTTAAACAAAGAGCAAAAGTGGAGGCAGAGGATAAATACAGCACTTTTCTCCAAAAGTGATAATTGAGTTCAAATGAAAGTTGGCACTTCTGAGAATTGAAAATATCACATCTTCTATGAATTCCCAGATTTGACTGTCAGGCTTGGAAGTATTTGATTTGTGATGACTATGCTGGTCTGGCATGGAGCATATCTTAAATTTAATCCAAGCTCATCCTCTACCCTAGGTATTACAGGTTTGGGGAATAACTTTGACCTTTGAAGTTTCTGTAATGGAACTTCATTAAATAAGGATTTTCTGGAGTTACTTTGCTGAAGCAGCAGTGATTTCGCTATCATTTCATAGCACCGGAACACAGTGGATTATTTTTTGTCCTTTGCACATAGCCTTGTAAATTGTCTTCTTCTAGAAGTCACATGTTTTGGATTGATCAATTACCAACAGTTGTATGGACTGTACTTCACCAAGTCTCTGAAGTAGGGCGTGGGAGGAGTCACAGCTGGGTATTGTCACGACCCATCTGCCCGGAGACTGAGGTAAATCTTGAGGCCACACCTTACCCCTCCTCTGACTCCCCAGATTAACCTCAATCTTCGGCCCAGAAAGAGCTAAATACCTTGCTCTCCTTGGCGCGAAATATTTTCTCTTTTTTCCCTTATTCTTTCCAATTTGGCTTTTCCCTTTGGAGTTTTTACCTGAAGAAGTTTTTCTTTTTTTGGCCTTGGACGATCCTCCTCTCGTGCGCTCCGCGAGGCCTGGTACAGGAGCAGTAGCGCTTCTGAAAGGCCTGAGCAGTGGCCTGGCAAAGAAGCTGCAGATCCCAAGCTTGGCGCACACAGCGCAGCTTGAGTGTAGGCTGCTCAAGAGGATCTACAAGCAAGCAGGAAGAGAGCAGAGCACATGATCGGGCTGTGTGGTCGGCAGTCGCCATCTTGAAGCGAGAGAGCGCATGCGTGGAGCGTAACTCTGGTCTCGGGTCGCAGAGACCGCAAGCGCCCACAAACACCGCCAGTCCAAGAGGGAATTGGGCTTGAGCTTCTCCGGAAATCCGGGGAGGGCCCCAGCATCTGGCGATGGGCCGGTCCTGACTCGAGCCATGGATTGGCGGCGTTGGAGAGCAGAGCAGGAGGGAAGCGAGCCTTCAGAAAGCCTGCGGACTGGCTTCTTCAGAGAACGAGAGAGGAGGGGGAGTAAACGTGATGGTGGACAACTTGAGAAGTGCAGGGCTGGGCAGAGCTTCCCCAAGGGGGACAGACTCGGAGGAAGGGACCTCCAGAGGATCCTACCCTGCGGAGAGGGGCAGAGCTGCGGCAGGAAAGTGCACCTCCAAATCGAGGAGAGAGCACTCGAAGAAGGAAGTAAGGGTAACTAGGGCGGCAGGCAAGAGAAATAGGGACACGATCAGTCCTTCCCTGGCCAGATTCCGATCCCCAGTCAGGCCCTCCTCCCCAGGGGATCCTCCCGGCCTAACGACCTCGCCACGTGGTTCCCAAAGGCGGGGTAGCTCCCTATCCCCCACTCTATCTCCAGCTCATCCCTCTGAAGCACGAGGGGACCCCTTCAGCCTGCCGAGGCAGTGCTTGGCTCCACAAAGCCCCGATCACAGCATGGATCCAGAGCCTCCAAGGCTATCTCCGGCCTACCCAGAGCTCTCTCAGGTTTCCAGGAGGTCTTAGCAAGAGCCATTGCCCAGGGCATCTCCTTGGGCATGCAACACCAGTTTCAAGGGCCTAGGAACAAGGCAGTCTGTAGTACACCTCAAGGTCATCTAGACCAACCCGGTCCTTCCACCTCCAGAGACCTTAGAGAGAAATCTCCTTCTACGGCTAGTGAGGAGTCGGAGTCAGAGGAGGGGGAGATTAAGGAGGTGGGTTTCTCTGATGAAGGGGAGGCCCCCATCTATCTTGGGCCTATTCCCACCCACTCTCTTTAGCTCCCTGCTGCGTAAAACTAAGGCCACAGCAGACCTGGATGTCCCAGTAACCAATCAGGACACTGCCAAGGCTGGAAAGAGTGGGGGAGCCAAGAAGGGTCCTTTCCACAGACCCCAGGTGGAGAAGGAGGAAATCCCTACCCCAGACCTGTTCGTAGAGGCGCTCAAATCACAATGGGCCCAACCAGGAACCTTTCCAACACCTGGGAGCAATGATCGCAGGTTTTATAACATTAACGCGAACTTTGATCAAGCCTTGCGGGTTCCATCAGTAGACGCTCCAGTGGTAAGCCTGGCATCCTCCTCACCGGTGATGACAGGAAACATTTCCAACTGCCTGAAACCAGAGGACAGGAAGGCGGAAATAATCATGCGCAGGATGTTCTAGGTGGTATCGTGGGCAATCAGGGCTGCCACAGCAGCCTGCTTTTTTAACAGGTCTACCTTACTGTGGCAGAACCCCGGCTTCGGACGTCAGACTCTTGCAGGACATCACAAAGGTGATGGCGGCCACCCAGTTCTCAGCGGATGCCACACTGGATGCAGTCAGATACTCTTCTAGAGCTCTAGCCTCTTCAGTGGCATCCAGGCGTTTGCTATGGCTGAGTTACTGGCAGGCGGAGTTCCGGACAAAGTGGCATTTAGCAGGCACAGAGTACACAGGAGGTCAGCTGTTCAGTCCATCCCTGGACCCCATCATCGTCGAGGACAAAAACAAGTGGAAGGTCTTTCCGTCCACGTCCAGACGACCAGATCACCGTTCGGCACTGTACCCCAGAAGTCCAGTTTTCGAGCACCAGAACAGGACTTCTAACAGCCAAGGTACTCTGTGCCCAGGTTCCCCAGACAAGGGGACAGACAGTTCTCTAGGGACAGGTTCAGGTTCCAACAACCTAACAAGCGCCCTTTTGAAGGGGAGGCGGTCACCCCTTCCGCAGAAACAAGTGATTCGGGATCGAATCACCCTATCGGGGGCTGCCTTTCCCTATTCGCGGATCGCTGGGTGGACATCACCATGGATGCTTGGGTGTTGCAAACTGTCAGGTTCGGTTTCTACCTGGAATTCCGCTCACAACCCACGAATAGATTTAGGGTTTTCTCTTCCTCCAGGAACCCAGCCAAGCACTCTCTCATGCACAAGGTTATCCAGCATCTACTGGAGATCAGAGCGGTAGAGCTGGTACTGGAGGGAGAGAAGAAATCTGGTTTCTATTCAAACCTTTCGTGGTCCCCAAGAGCTCTGGAGGGTGGAGGGCCATCCTGGACCCTAAGTTACTCAACTCCAGGCTGGTCTATCGTAGGTTCAAGATGGCCTCACTAAAGTCTATCCTAGAGGGAATTAGACAGGGCAACTTTCCAGCCTCCATTGATCTCACCGAGGCTTACCATCAGTAGATGGATCAGGCTAGCCATCTCCAAGGCCTACGAGGCAGGGGGATTGCAGGTGCCCGATGGCATCACCGCACACTCCACTAGGAGTGCAACTACTTTGGCGGCCTGGGCCACTCAGGTCCCCATCGAAGACATTTGCAGGGCGGCAGCATGGGCTTCGCCCTCGCCGTTCATCAGACACTATAGACTGGACGCCTTTGCCTCCGTGGAGTCGTCCTTTGGGAGGAGAGTCCTCCAGAGAGTGCTGGATACTCGGGGGGACTCAAGCCCCATGGACCCTCCAAGGGACATCTAGCTTTGGTAGGTCCCAGCTGTGACTCCTCCCACACCCCACTTCGGAGACTGTCAGTTGGTCTTACCTGAACTGCATGTCTCAAAGGATGGCGTGGGAGCAGTCACTTCCCGCCTGTAGTGCGCCCCACGCAGGGTGGGCCTGAGAGAGAGTTACTGATCAGTCAGGGACCAGGAAGGAAGTGGGGGAGTTACCCTGTTCCCTTCCTTCTAGAGACGCCTTGACTGGATCATCGGTTAATCTGGAGAGTCAGAGGAGGGGGAGAGGTGTGGCCTCAAGATTTACTTCCGTCTCCGGGCAGATGGGCCGTGACAATACCCAGCTGTGACTGCTCCCACGCCATTTTTCGAGACATGCAGTTCAGGTAAAACCAACTGACATTCTAGATGATTTACAATATATAGACTAAAAACAGCCCAAAACTGAAACATTACAGTCAAACAATGTAATAGTTTTCATTGAAAAGTTGCTGCCTATCTGGTTTCCCCAAAAATAAGACCTCTCCGGATAATGAGCCCAATTGGGCTTTTGAATGCATGTGCTAAAATAAGCCCTCCCCCCAAAATAAGACCTTCCCGAAAATATTGCAACACAGCAGCAGCCATGAGGTGACCACACTTGCCCATCTCCTGCACCTCAAAAATAATAAGGCAACCCTGAAAATAAGGCCAAGTGCTTATTCAGGGGTCAAAAGAAAATAAGACCCTGTCTTATTTTGGGGGAAACACGGTAGTAAAAAGTTTCCTGATTGAATTCATTGTAGAAGGTAAAAGTCTTCATTAATTAAGAAAGTGAGGAGGCAACCTGACTTCTGGAGATATATAATTTCAGGAAGAGAAACTACTACGAGAATGGTATTCTATGGATCTCAGCCATTCTGATCTCTCCTGGTGTAGACCAGTGTTTTTCAACCACTGTGCCGTGGCACACTAGTGTG